TTCATATGTTGTTTTATGGATCTCACCGAGGTAAGTGGACAGTAAAAGTTTTTATGTTAATAAACGAGTTTATTATAAATTATGCTTCATTGGTCTTTTTTGTGTTTTCTACCCACCTTTACCTCCGTGGCGGTGAGATAGTGCGATGTCTTTACTGGGCTGGTGTAGCTCATTCTTTATTTAACCATTTCAGATCAGGAAGACATTGTTCCCGAGCCCGTTCCGCAGGAAGACGGCGAAGGAGATGCCTGAAGATTCCGTGGTTATATTTATAGTTCTTATTTTCGAGCATATCTCTTTTAATTAGTTTGTTCTTTTATATTTTGAGCACGTTTTTGGTTTTTGTGTAAGGGATGTTAATCAAAATTTTTATTACGCTTCCGTATTTGACATTCTTAATACACATTTTTCATTCTAAATTTTCGGGGCCATTACAAAATGAGTGTGATCTAATAAACAGATAAGATGATAGTCTCACTAGATATCTTGGGATATGGTGAATGGACCGGGTTCATAGAGAACCCTACCATGAACGCTGTCTCATACCGGACGGGGTATAGAGACTTGGTAATTTAGCGCTCATACCGGACGGGGTATAGAGACTTGGTAATTTAGCGCTCATACCGGACGGGGTATAGGGACGGCCCACTTCACCGTCATACCAGACGAGCTACTGGGGTTTAATGTCTTGGCGCTCATACCGGATGGGGTATGGGGTCGGCTATGTAATTAAGACTGTTAAGGAAAATAGTTCACGTGTAGCGGGGACACCTCTATGGATCACCATGGATACTAGTAGACTGGTGAAACGAAAAACGGTTACGATTTCGTTTATTGTTAATAAATGTGAATTTATGATATGTTCTATGTTGTTGGTCGTGCATGAAGTTATGATCTATATGATATTATTATTTATATAATTTATTTTCATAAATTTTTCAATTGTAAGTAAAAGAGTAAATGCTTTTATTTTAAATAAATGTATTGGTTTAAATCTAATGCTCCATTGGTTGTTTTGATTTTCTACCAACCTTTGTTTCTGTGTCGATGATATAATGTGATGTACTTACTGAACTAGTGTACATCACCCCTTATTTAACTATTTCATATCAAGAGAACCTGGTTCCTAAGCCCAATCCGCAAGAATACTGCGAGTAGATGTTAGAAACTTTATATTTTCTTTTACTTTTCTCGTTTCTCGTGTTTCTTTCAGAGAATTCATTTCGTGATGTTTGTTTAGTATTTTTAAATTATTGTGTAAGGGATGTAAAACTTAACTTTTTATTTCGCTTCCGCACTTAAATTATTATATATTTTCTTTTGAATTTTCGGGGTCGTTACAGTTAGTCTAATTATTGATTCAATAAGATTGAAAACTTAACTAATTAATGTATTGATGAAACTGTAATTTTTGGACGAAAAAAATATGTAATAGTTAATTCTTTTAATTGAAATAGTCATGACTAGTTAAAAATTTAATTCTAACATTTTTTTCATAAAAAAAAATAATAGAATTCTAATTTTTTTACATGTAATATAAATTGACAGTAATCAATTTATAATACTTAATTCATAAAATTTTAAAATTTAAATTCACTAATTTGTTAAGAAGACAACAATTTTTAAGTAAAAAAATATTACGTAATGATTAAGTTTTCATTGCACAACTAATTAAAATTTTAATATAACTTTTTTCATTTAAAAGAAAAAATATATGTTATTATTGATTTATTAACATTGTGACTCGTGGCTTTTCCATTGGTAGTATGACAAAATTATACAGTATCGATAATCTAAAGTAAGTGCTATGATTGCATATCCTTTACGTTTCTCTTACTAACTAATCAATTTCTAAATTTTAATCATTTGGCATATAAAAGTTTATTACTTACATATTTTCACAATAATATATTCATATTATAATTTGTCTAAGAAAAAACCACAAAACTATCTACTTCAAAAAAATCGTAAAAATTTGTTTTCGTATATGCTTATATATACCTCTTTCTTCTTGGGGAGAGAATTTTTATGACGGGGTTTTGGATTTGATAGCTCTATGCTTATTTATAATAAGGAGACACTGTGGTCTAATGATTAGAAGTAGTGAGTAGGTGGGGGAAATGCAGATGATTTTCTCTCACTACATGGTTGCTGAGAAAATTCAAAATTCTTCCGTTAGAATTTTCTTTTCTTTTACTCCGTTTTGTTTGAGAGGGAGGTAAATAAGATAAACTGATTTCTTTGGTGCAGGATTTATGGGAATTTGCGAGGAAGATGCAGCAAGATCAAACCAGGAAAGTGAGTCCCTTAATCCTTAGTTTTCCGGATACGAGTTCTTTTCTGGATGGATCACTTAAGGATTTTCTTGGTAGCTGCTCCTTAATCTTTAGTTTTTCTGATACGAGTTCTTTTCTGGATGGATCATGTAAGGATTTTCTTGGTGGCTGCTCCTTAATCTTTAGTTTTCCTAATACGAGTTCTTTTTTGGATGGATCACATAAGGATTTTCTTGGTAATCTTTAGTTTTCCTGGTACGAGTTCTTTTCTGGATGGACCACGTAAGAATTTTCTTGGTGGCTGTTCAGTAAGTTTTTGGAAAGAAAGGGATGGTAAATTCTGGCATTCTTTTAATGATCCAAGAAAGCATATGGGAGAGTTCGATCTGGTATCGAGTTGTTGTCCATTAATTTCTGGGGAAGTGTGGGTGAAAGAAGAAGCCATGAAAATTTAAATATCGAGTTTTGGGATTTTTTGGAGAATAATCTTTTTTTCAGTTGAACTCAGTTTTAAGCTCCGACTATTGTGCTTTGATAGCTCTAATTTGGTAAAGTTGATTAATTTCGGGACTTACTCCTAATTAGATTTATTTTATCAAGTGTCCTTTTAACGCTTGATTAGAAGAATAGTGATTGCCGATGAGTATAGTCCTTGGAATTAACTATTATTATTATATATTGCCTATTGAAACTACAACATGTATAATTGTTGTAGCCTTTATTATGATCAAGTACTATTTCAAATTCTCATCTCATCAAGGAAATATTTTCCATTAAGCTCATGAGAAAATAATCTTTTAAAGTATTCTTCAAGGGTCACTGTCTTAAATAATGCTCGTTTCTGTTCATTGATCAAGCTAGGTGCTGGCCCGATTGCTCCGCCAGGTCTAGTGCTATAAAATGTGGCCATTGACAACCTCTCTTTCGTTACATTCACTATTACTCGATGCTCGATGCTACGATAAACACCATTACTCACAATCTGTCATGTGAATATGTTATCAAGGTCAAAAATATCATCAACAAAAAGATCAACTAATATACTTTATTCTCACACGTGATTACCTCTAAAATGTCTCCAATGTTGACAATGAATGCTTCTGGGAGAGGCTCGACAAGAATCCATTTACCATCTTTCCTTATTTGCAAACCTTCAACTTCATTAAGTTGGAGGAGGATGGTAAGAGCTACAGAATCAGAATGAGGAGAGAGGCCTATAACTTTCTCTGGTTGAGGACAAGGAGGATAATAATTCATCCTGAAGGATTGAATTCCATCTTCAAACATGTCTTTTATTTCCTCTTTTTTTATATTAAGTGTTTTTCCTATCTTTTCTAACATTACCATAGCTAAATTTTGTAGTTGTAATGAGTACTCCTCCATTGTATCTCTGCATATATAAGAAGATAAAAATATGATTTGTAATAATGTACCAAAAGTTAAAGTGCAAATGTTAATATTAAGAAATTTGTAATTAGCTAGTAGTACTTAGTATTTTCCTTTTTTTATAAAAAATTATGAATTTAAATCATGTTTTTTTGTATGTTCTTATTAGAATGTTGAAGTTGTATTAATAATAGATATACATATCTATAATCTAATTAATAAAATAAATATATTTTTATTTTAAAAAATATAAAAGTTAATTAAACATAATACCTAAAAAAGAGTGGGAGATTTTGGAACAAGTAAGGTTTTCGAGAAGCAATTGGTCGTACAGTGATGAAGAACATGTCAGCCCAATCAAGTTTTTGTTCTTCGGAGACAACAAAGGCTTGTCCAAATCCTTCGATTTCTTTGGGAGTTTGCCATAGCTTTTTCTTTTCATCCATTGGCATGTTGAAAAACTCTTTTATCTCTTTCTTTACCTTTTCCACAAAAGATGAGCTTACTCCATGGTTTACTAACTGCATTTCAAATTTTTAATTAAGAAAAAAGAATTAGTTATGTATCGTATATACACAATATTAATAAATTTCTAGTTGAATGGTTGCTACGTCTATATTTATAAAAAATTATAGATTTAAATTGAATTATACACGTTATATTATTTCTATTAAAAAATATATATAAATTAATACGTTTTACTAATAAAAATATGTATAAGAAGTCGAAGGTTTGGTAATTTTGATAGTATTTCTAACTTTAATCCTACTAGAAATAAGGTTTTTGGTAAAATATACATTCTTAATTTAAATTTAAATTGTTTCTGATTGAATAAATTATAATTTTTAAAACGTATGCATCTTTACAAATTATCTAGCTAGAGATTTAAATGGTTTATTCTATACTTATAAAGGTGTACAAACTTTGGTTCATACCAAAAAATCAAACAGTATGTTTACAAACTTAGGCTCATAAAGCATAAAATATCTTAAATATTAAAATTAGGATTCTCGTTAAAATATTATTAACTATCTTTTTTAAAAAAAAAAAAAATCTTGACAATTTTTCAGCTTAAAATTCTTAATTCTACTAACTTCATATATATAGTTTTCCAAAGTATAAAAGTAAGGAAAAGGAAAATTATAAGGCATTCAAAAATTTCTGAAACAAACCTACATAACGAATTGATGAAACACCAAAAGATATACAAACAAGTTTTGTGTATAATTCTGACGGCAATATAAGAAATTACAGAGAACTGTAGAACAATTTGATCGACGATGATGATTCTGTTAATCTACATACATGTATGTAGTGTGAGTGAGTGTAGATAGGTACCTGGAAGAAACCCCAGTCTCTGCAAGCATGATGAAGTTTTGACGACTCAAATTCCATGGAATCTGCAGAAAGCAAGCTGCGGAAATCGATGACCGGGATCTGAAGACCGGAGAGATCGTCAGCGACGGCGGCTGCTTGTTGATCAGGGCGTAGGTATCTGGTTGGGACGGTGGTTACGGAGTCACTGGAGGCCAGCTGTTGAACACTCGGCACCAGAATGGACTTGTAACTCACTTGTTTCTTCTCCATTTCTGTTCTTTTTCGTTCTTTGGCAGCTCTCCAACATTATGCCGCTACTTATAATTGGAGAAACAAACTCAACAGATTCAACAGAAAAGTCCAATGAGGGTACCAGTCAGCAGTCATTAGTGTAATTAATTATTATTAACTGTTAATTAATTCTAATTAGTTCAATTACATCTTCTGCATAAATTCACAGACCCACAATAATGATAAACAACTCTAATCCATTTTTTAATTTTTTATTTTATTATTTTAAATTTTTAAATTATTATATTTTATTAATTAAATAAAATATATACATTTATTATAATAAAGTTTTATAATTAAAAAATATATAAAATTATAGTTGGGTTTTATAAAAAGTAAAAAAAAAAAATATCAATCACCCACGAAATAATTGTTATTGCTAGGGCCAACTTAATTAATGCACGCGTCTCTTGCTATGATAGTTCGCTTTAAACTAAAATTAATATTTATACGCAATTTGTATGTATTGTCAATACCTACCCTTTTTTTTTTCTTTTAGTCCCCTCAATGTCTAAATAATATAAAGTTTACCTACCCTTTTTTTGGAAAGAATTGTAAGGGGGGAAATTGCAATAATTGAAGGAGACGTGATACAAAATAAAATTGTATGAATTAAATAGTAAACAATATCTAGATAATGAATTATATTATCGCATCTAAATAGTAAAAATACTAATTTATTATTCAAAAGATTAATTATTACTTATAATACTTTTAATGGGTTAAGTTAGAGGTATTATACATAGACAAAAAAATAAAATTATATATTATTAATACCCAGTAGTCTAATAGTTAAATTTTTATATTTTATTTAAATATTATAAATTTAAATTATAGTAAAAACATAATACTCGTTAATTTTTTAATATATTATAGATTG